GAGAGAGAGAGAGAGAGAGAGAGAGAGAGAGAGTGTGTGTGTGTGTGTGTGTGTGTCTCTGTGTGTGTGTGTTCAGTACAGGTCCCAATCCAAGAACCAAGATTTAGCTCAGCCATGTTTGGGGCCCAATGATAGAAGGTCATTTTTGGGAGACAGAAATTTCAGTAAAGACAATCTTTTTCACAATGTCTATTTCTGCTATTTTTAACCTACCTTCTTCAAACAAGTGTAAATTTAAACTGACTTTTAAAAAATTATATATATATATATAATTATATATTATATATAGATGTATGTGTGTGTGTGTGTATATATATATATATTTTTTTTTTTTTTTCTTTCCTTGAACATCAACATCAAATGGAACTGTTCTTATTGTAAGATAATTTCTGAGCTAATTCCTGGTTGTTCGAATTTACTGGAACCAAAACTGGAGGGACAGAGAGTATGATGAAGGCAATGAACATGCTCAACCACTTAATATTTGTCGTGCACTGGGCTAGATTCTTTACATATGCTATTTACTCAGTCTTCAAAAGAACCTTATGAGTGAGGCATTTTTATAACATCAAAAAACCTAACTAGAATCATCTTGAGATATATAGATGAGAAAAGCACTTGTTTAAAGTGACATGATTCTTGAATTGCCCCATACCACAAATGTTATATGTGCCCAAGTATGTGAATGTTTACGTGCTGCATCAGCACATGAATTAGAGACACGTTTTTGATAAAATTTATAGTTTATGGATATATAATTTTACTTTCACTTTTTTAAAGCACTACCTTATAGTGATTTGTTAGATATAACTGTTAAATCAGGGGAATTTTAGAGAATAACTTCAAAAGACACAGAAGTTATTTTATCCGGCTCTTATAATGATAGCAGAATGCAATTCGGTTGAAACTTAGAAACATGAGCCAAACTGGGAACTGCATCGCTGATGAACTACAATGGATTTCTGTAATCAATTAAAAACCAAGAGTGAGTGAGAAAGGCTAAAAAATCATTTAAGTTGCTTGATACATTATAATATCTCAGGCCTCCTAAGTACTGGCAAATACAGCTGTGTCCCCTTCTCTTTGCTCTAATTACCATTAACATATGAGATAGAGACTGTATTGTACCATTTTCATCTTAGTGCAAAATCAGTGTAATGAGCAGAAAACTTTAAATTGTGAAAAAGGAATATATATATATATATACTTTAACTCGTCAGTTTTTATTGAGATTCAATGAATATTATATACTAAGTTGTACAGAAATTGTATTGCTTACTTATTGAATAATTATATGTTTTATAAAATTTCCAAAGGTATATAATTTCTTATATATTTGTGTAATCAATACCAATATATTTAAGTGAACATGAATATAGTCTTTTATGAGTATATTAGCATGTTTCTGTAAAATGACCTTTCTGCATATTTCATATTATTTTAATGTTTTTTTTTCCTGTATTGCATCAAAAGGTATTTGACAAAAACAATTTCCCTTTAATGCGAGGTTAGTTTTTATTCTCTGTATAAAGATTAAACAGAGGAGTAAACATTCACAAATGATTCCTTAGTTTGGGAAATCAGATTTTTTTTTGAGGGGGGGGGTTTTCAAATGTGCATATTACTACACTAAAATTATTTTAATTACAAAAATATTTTTTAAGAAAAGCTCACAATAACTGATAAAGTTAATGATTCAACTGATTTTCCCTAAGTGTGGTAAAAATAAAGAATAAAACATGCAAAAGTTTTATTTTAAAAACAAACAAAAAAACTATGGTTACATATATATTTCAAAAGGTACCTTAAGAAATAAAATTCAAACTCATATTTATTGCAGCTTAGGGTGCACATTGTGTCCCTTCCTTCTAACTTACTTCTATTAATATATGGTAGGCAAAAGCTGCAACATCTTAGAGCAAAGATTTAAAGAACAAGGGCTAGTTTAAATAACTGAGACACCGTTAAGCATCACACAAAAACTGAGTAAAGGTCTTACCGTGAACTACTGGTGCTAAGAGCATCATGAGGACGAGGAGCTGTGCTGGCCACATGGCTGGGAAGTCGGCGTGAGCGGGCCTCCGAGCGAGTGTTTCAAACGTGAATCACAGCAAGTGTTTCTGGTTTCTGGCTCTTGTGTATTCCAAGACCAATGATTAAAAAAAAAAAAAAGGAAAAACCCAAAAAGAAATATTCCTCAAAACAGAAACACCAGTATCCCAAATCCGAATCCTGCAAACAAGAAAAAAAAAGGGTTATCAAATACAGGTTCTCTTAACTCCTTGAAAGTTTATTTCCTGATGAAAACATGTTATACCTCCTCATTTCATCTTAATGAGTACAGGATTCATATATAAAAATGAGTGAGTAACCTAAAGGACAATATTTATGCATGTATTACCAATGTGTAATTCCACACTCCAAACGAACTGAAATAAATAATTCAGTCAGTATCACTGGACAAATTAATATAAATGTGCTATATTAATTTGTATAANAAACTGAAATAAATAATTCAGTATCACTGGACAAATTAATATAAATGTGCTATATTAATTTGTATAATAATTAATAACTAAGTAACTAATGGAGAACCTGGAACAGCATCAGAGCAAAGGACAAAAGGAAAGAGAAAAATGATGGTTTTCTGAAGCCTAATTACACATTGTACCCTTTGGAGGTTCAGGGAAAATTATTTCCATAGTGAAACATGAGTATTGCTATTGTGATGTTTGGCTTCAGTGAAAACCAGAATAGTTTATTTTATAAGATATATATTTTCACATTGATGAAGCAATGGGAGAAAGTTATTTTATAAAAAAAGTAAAAATTACATATCTATTATTTATAATAATGGTTATTTGAAGATATTGCAGCAGGGCATAAAGGCACTTCTACTATGAAATTTTACATTTGATTTAGGCATAGGAATTTGTTTTCATGATTACTGTGTAAACAGAGGTGGAGAAAGGAATTTGGAGGAACAGCAGCTATTATTTGAGAAGGTAACACATTCTCACACTCCAGCTTCACCACCCGCCTACCTCTCACGCACAGCCCTAAAACAATGTGCTAATTTGGGAGCATATATAATAAAATCCCACCAATTAAACTATATAAATTTTAATAGCTAAATGAAAGACAAGATTGCTCATAACCTATAGAAAGGTATCCCGCCCCCCCCCTTGAATAGTAACATTAAAAATTTTTTTTTCTGTAATTTTTTTTCCAATTTATGTGTTGTCATTAACTTTACCAAACCAATCAGTGTTCATATAAAAGGGATTTTCACTTAACTCATTTCTAAAATATAGCTCTTCAAAAACACAAAGAAAAACCAAAAGGCATTAGAGACTCATTTAGTTACATATGACAAGATAATTACTCATAAAAAAGACAACTTACTAAAGATATAAAGCATTTAACAAGTCAATTACAAAAAAAGAATTTCCATCTCCAAAAAAATTTGTCTTAGCCTTCTCTGTACTAATACTATGGGACAAAATTCAGAGAGTGTGTCTACAGTTCTAAAATGTGATCCCCATTTTAAAACAACTTGCAATGAAATATGCCAAAAAGTACACTCACCAATAAATTACACTGCTGTGCAAAATGTGACATGTTTTATGTGAGATGTTCTAGAAACAAAGTAAAAAACTAACAGATTTTTCTTTGGTGTGTAACAGCAAGGGATTTAAAATCATGCTGACCTATGGTGCTGGGCAAGTTTGCATACCTCTCTAAATCTCAGTTTCTTCAACTGTAAGACCAAAAAACAATATTCAGCTTGTAGGTTGATTCTGAGGATTAGAGATAACATACTTTAATTCCCTGCTGCAGAGACTGTCACACGATTGTACAGGTCTGTCAGTACACGTCTGTCTCTCACCAACTACCTTTGTGTCCTTTATTCCTTCAAAACGAGGGACAGACCATGTGCCCACCCACCCCTCTCACTTACATGTCTAGGAAACTAACACAGGAATCTAGGCATCCTCGCTCCCCTTGAGAACTCTACAGATGAACAATTCATACTAAATGTGAGATTTTATAAAGGATTTCCCATATGTCACCTTTATTTAAAATATACCTATAACTTATGCTAATAATTTCCATTAATAAACAGGTTAATGCTTTAAAAATTATTCTCAAAAGATGGCATTTCTATCTCTCATCAAAGATTATCACAATATGGCAAATGGTTTTGCCTGTTACCTGAGCAAAGCTTGGAAGGAATGTATTTCCAGGATAGTCCCTGACTGGGAACTTACATCATTAATATTCAAGATTATAATTATGAAGCTGTGTGATGTGAGTCAAGTTCCTTAATATTCTTTTATATCACAAAATGAAAAAAAAAATGCTACAAATGGATGGAAAGTCTATTTGTTACCCTTAGACTGAATTTCATTCACATTTAGTACTGTTATACACTGAAAACACTTTAATTATATCTGTTGTTTCTGAAACAATAGTTCTAAATTTAAGACATTGACTTTAATTTGGGGAAACTCTCACCTTAAATTCTATTGTCATAATTTGGTTTTCCTGTTTAACATTTTCATATATCCTTCTTCCCAAATCATGCTTGAAAGCTTTTTTTACTTTATATTTACTTCCTTTCTACACTCTAAATAGATATTAATGACAGAATCTGCATGCCACTCACCTTGCAACTGTTACCTTCATTTTAGCTATTCTTAATCACATTTCTGTAAAATAACTTACTCTCAATCTTTCCCCAAATACAATGTATGTTATTATTATACTTTCTCCTCATAATGACCTTGACAAGATACTATATCTTCTTTATAATATTTTCATATTTTCAGAATCAGATTCTGCTAATTACAAATTTTACTCTTTAGCAACTTTATACATTTTTATTTTTCATATTTTATTTTGCATGTTTATTTGTTTCTGCCACATACATCTTCTTAGAGGGCATGTTCTTTTACATATTTGGAACATGCCAAATGTATAAAATGCCATGTGGTGCTATTTTAATAATTACTTATAAGTATACAGTTCTATAACTCCATTGCTAATTATAATATAGGAGCTTCCCATTTAGCATGTATTATTTAGGGAATTTATAGCTACTGCCAAAAAATAGCCCAAAAAATTACTTTAGAAGTGCTTATACATATTAGTTGGGTGGGTGTTATCTGTATGCTTCCAGTGGTTTTGGTGTATTCTGAAATTTGAACAATTTAAAATTACATTCACTAACAATTCAAGTATTTATCACAATCCTTCTCCATAAATTACCTTTTTAGTGATATAAAATTGACATATAACTCATAAGTATGATATAAATTTCAAACAGATTTATGTAGTTATTACATTTTATCATTTATCACTACCTTAACAAGTAAAGCAAATATCTGTTATCATAACAGAGCATCTAGTTAATAATGATTTATGAGAACACAGCTCTCTACATTTATAAATAAGACTCATCCAGAGTAACCAAAAAGAGCCAAGTATTTCTGAGAAATATTTATTTAATAAGGCTGGAAATTATATTTCATGTACAGTAATTATGCATAGATGCTTAGATCAGGGGTTTTAATGCTCCTTATTCAAATTTAAGATGGCTATCCTTCCATGAGTTACTAATACTGCACTGTAATAAGCACATACACTGCAATGCTTCACTGTCCACGCCCTAGGAAATGAAGGATGACGTCTTCTCTCAGAAAAATGTCTTCCCAAAGCAGTTCTATGTGGAATACTCCTTCTGAGATGGAGGGGAGATCTATGAAATGTTATCTCTTAGGGAAAAGATGAAAAATCAGATGGCTATAATACACCTTCTTCCCAGCACCATCCTATAATAATACTTCAAAATGTTTGGTGTGATGATCACCAGGTAAAGAAAATGAGTTTCAGAAAAGTTTAGACTGCATAAAATATATAATTTTTTTAATGTTAGCTATAACTTACATTGTCTGAAACTCAGAAAAATACGTTTTCTTTAAAGTTTTCTTATTGTTTGCTAAAATTTGTATTAATTATTTTACATATGAGTACATTTGAATATACTATGTGAGTATACCATGAAACTAAAAAGCACTATTACTTTGGGTAATATTACTAATGATCATGTCATGTTTTAAAAAATTAAACACATTGTCTTTACGTTTTGACTTTGAAAACCGAAGCTTATTGTTTAAATAAGTTTATTACATTTTCCTATTACAATAAAGTTCAAGGACCTTTCCTTTCAATATTTATTCATTTAAAGCACATTATATTAACTATTGAGTCTAGTCGCAGTAAGGAGCTGAATGTTTCAGCAATGAATACTTTTTAAAATAGTGGCAGACACCACTGAAGATTCATAGAGGGCAAATTCTTAATCATCATGTTTAATATTTTCAAGAAATACTGAACTCAATCAACCCACATGTGTTTCTGTGGCATAGTGTCCCACGGGGCCATTATTTCATACAAACAATGTAAACTGGGTTTGGCCATGGAGTATATATGAGATATTTATGCCATAATGCTTTGTATTAAAAGAGAGAGAAGGGGGAAAGGAGAAGAGATAATGCAGGACATACAAATAATATAAATCCAAGTAAGATAAAGAATAGGGTTTAAAAAATAGATGAACTAACACAGCTTGGAAGGTCTGGAAGACTATAAGAGAAGCACGGTAGCTGCGCTGGAATTTCACGGACGGACGGGATGTCACTAACGCGCGTGGGGGGACATTCTGGGTGAAGGGTTTTAGGAAGCAGGTGAAGAACCGGTGAGCAGGGCCTGTCAGGCTGCAGCGGGCCCGTCAGGGCTGCGGGGTCAGGGAGCAGCAGCGGGAACACTACACCCGCCCCCTGAGGGAGAGCAGAAAAGAGCCTGAAGACTGGGCAAAGAAAGCTGAATTCAGCTCGGTTAGTTCCAAACCCTGCAGTGTGAGATATTTAAATAGTTTATAATATTTAAAGAAATTACATAAATACACAAAAATCAATGCAAGCAATGTTATTTATTTATATCTTCACCTGAGGATGTTTTTTCCATTGCTTTTCAGAGAGAGTAGAAGGGAGGAAGGCAGGGGCAGAGAGAGAGAGGGGGGGAGAGAGGGAGAGAGAGAGAGAAACATCAATGTGAGAAAGACACACTGACTGCCTCCCAGACTCACCCTGACTGGGGGCCGGAGCGACCCCACAGTCTAGGTAGCCCCGCCTGGGAATCCAGCCTGAGATCCCCAGGTGCTTGGGCGC